TGTCTTGCCCAAGGACACAACGACCAGGACAGAGAGCCCAGGGATCGAACCGGCGACCTTCCGGTTACAGATGCGATTCCCAACCCCCTGAGCCACGGTCGCCCCATTATGAATGAATGATGAATTTTTATGAATTATTATGTCTATTTTTTATGTTTAAGGACAACAGATGGAAATTAGCCTTTGGCTATAATCTGGCATGTTTACATTCATGCAATTTTTTTTTACATTTATGTTCATTACAATGCACTGTCCTAAATAAATAAATAAATAAATAAATAAATAAATAAGCTTTTGTAAAAGTTCTCAAAAAGTTGATTCTGTTCATCTGGATGTAGCATTTTCAGTGGGGGAAACGTTTCATCACTCATCCAATTGACCTCTTCAGTCTCAGCTGACTGCAGGTTTCCCCAACCTTATAAACAGTACATTGCACAATGACTGAAACTAGCACCACTGAATGAATAATGGGCTGGGAGGTCAGTTCCTTGATCATTAATATGCAAATTCTCATGACCCTGAAAGATTTCTCCCACTGAAAACGCTACGTCCAGAACAGAATCAACCTTTCGGGATTTACTTACCTGGATGATCAAGCATGCATCAAGACATTGTGTAAAAATTCAAGAAATATAACCATATCTCTTCTGCATACCTGAATTTGCTTTGAAAAACCCCAAAAGTCACTAAATCCCCTGATTTCAGGTTCACTGGTGTTGTAATCTGTTGGTTGTTGACAAATGTACCATACTTGGAGGTGTCTTTCAGAGTCAGGGTCTAAAAAGCAGAATACATGAGAGCAATCATCACATGTTCAATGTCTTTACTGAAGATCGGTCTCAGTATTGCTATCAGCGTTCATCATCTGACCAAATGTGTTGACTATGAGCCAGACTCCATCACTTTGCTGATTAGATATTAATGTGAAATAATTAATGCATTCTTGAATTATGAATAAAACCCTTTTTGGGAGGTCACGGTGACATCCAAGGGAGATAAAATGGCACAGAAGTTAAACTGTAATGAAAGTCAAACTTTAATAGACATTTTTATCATTTTAGATAAAATTTAATTTTATGTTTTATAGTCCAGCAGGTTTATGAATGTATCAATAAAAGGCATCAAGTAAACAGAAAGAGAAAGAAACAAATTCAGAAGCTTCTTAAGGCAAGCAACAAGAAACCACACAGATCTGGCAAGCCAAACAATCCATATTTGGCAGCTGATAAATACTGTGGGAGCTCCACGCGAATCTCAGAAGAACAAAACAATGTGTGAGCATGTAGCAGTTTTTTAAAATTGCAATTAAAATGACATCATATGTGTTTTATTTTGCAAGTGCATCACTCAGCACAGCTTGCAGAGCTTTTGGTAAAAACCAAATGGAGAATTTCTTAGACTGCACAACAATTACAGCTGAGTGGTGGCATGATTTACTACATTCAGGCCTAGTTATGTAGGAGTAGCGCAGCAGCACCACCTTCTGCACCAAAGTGTCATCATGGAGGCAAATATTTCACTGGTGCTTCCAGAAATACCAAGAGGATTTTTACTGATGTTCTGGTAAACCAGGAAAAAGACAAAAAAGTCACTAAAATGTCTTTGCTTCCTTAACATTACATATAATAAATATGTCTCAGCACAAGCTGGATTAAAGTTTAGGAATAGGCCCTAAGGATAGATTTAAAACAGGCTGGTAAAGCAGCAGATCTGACACGAC